TGTTTGTGTTTGTGTCTGTATGTATGTGTGGTGTCGTAGGTCGCTTCTTCCTTCTCCTCGAGGCATGTGTGTGCGGGTGGCGTGTGTGTGTGTGCGGGTGGCGTGTGTGTGTGGCGTGTGTGTGTGTGTGCGGGTGGCGTGTGTGTGTGGCGTGTGTGTGTGTGTGTGTGCGGGTGGCGTGTGTGTGTGCGGGTGGCGTGTGTGTGTGGCGTGTGTGTGTGTGTGCGGGTGGCGTGTGTGTGTGTGGCGTGTGTGTGTGTGTGCGGGTGACATGTGTGTGTGCGGGTGGCGTGTGTGTGTGTGTGCGGGTGGCGTGTGTGTGTGTGTGGGTGGCGTGTGTGTGTGTGTGGGTGGCGTGTGTGTGTGTGTGTGGCGTGTGTGTGTGCGGGTGGCGTGTGTGTGTGTGTGCGTGTGTGTGTGCGGGTGGCGTGTGTGTGTGTGTGGGTGGCGTGTGTGTGTGTGTGTGGCGTGTGTGTGTGCGGGTGGCGTGTGTGTGTGCGGGTGGCGTGTGTGTGTGTGCTGTGTGTGTGTGGGTGGCGTGTGTCGCGCACACACTCAGTCGGAGACGAGGTAGTCGCAAGAGGCACCGTCCTCCCCTTTCATTGTTGTGTTCACGCCACCAACTCAGGCCCCCCCAATCTCTCTCTCACGACCACGCTGCCGTACGACTCTGTCCACATTGCACCGACGGCGTCGACCAAGACACCCAACCACTCTCCGGCCGCGCAATGATCGGGCGAAGGCAGCAGCGACGAAGGCGGTGACGACGACGAGACGAGTCCACTCCCAGAACCGGCAGCCCGGAGCTCTCGCTCTCCGCCACTTTTATTCCCCTCGGCGCCGCGTGGCTCCGCCCTAGCCGCGCCTCCCTTCTCGAACCCACCAGAGGGTTCCAGGGGCTTCCCCACGAAGTCTACCGTGACCCTTGCCCCAGTTCCTCCGTCCTGCCGGCACACACACACAGCCGTGTTATTACTCAACGGCGTGTGCGATAAGTATCCACCTGCAGTTGCAGCTGCTATACAGCAGTCAGCGCTGTGTCACTACACATGTATGGGGAGCGGTAGCGTAGCGGTTAGCGCGTTGCACTACGAACCTGGCGACCCGAGTTCGATTTCCGCTCACGGCCAACACCAGTGACGATTATCTGAACCGGTCCTGGGCCTCCCCTAGGTCGACTCAGCCTAAAATGGTTATCGGGTGCATTGTGTAAAAATCACCACTTGGGAGACAAAGGCGGCCGGGCGTGGTGTTGGCCACCTCCTCTCCCGGGCGCTGTGTCGGCCTTCATAGTTGCTACTCGCTAACAGTACTTGCCCCAACAGTCTGTTCAGGCTATGCGGGGCATCTTTGTCTTTGTCGTATGTGCGAGAACAATTTTCTCGATCGACATCAGTCCACGTTGTGCGATTCGTTTCAAACGTTTCGTTGACAGCCACTCACTTACAACAGGCAGCAGCAGCAGCAGGCGTGCGGTGGTTGTTTCGTGTATTTAATAACACTGTATAACACATGCTCTGTTTCTGGGTAGTAAGTATTACTTCGTAATTGCTTATGCCTAGAAAATGGCTATTATTCCCCACAAAATTTGCTTTTGTGACCAGGACAGTGATATTTTGAAATTTACCTATTTTCAATGAGAAAATGGGCGAATGTGTGTCTTTCCCTTCACATAAAGTCAGAAAAAAAACATATGAATCAAAATGAACATGTATGTATACTAAAGTAATACAAAAATGACTACAAAAGATTTAAAAGTGAGTTATTTTTTTAGATTTACGAATATACTGTAAATTACTTTCACGAATCAGCCCCCAAATGTAGTCTCCCATCATGTTCTCGTTATACTGTCCTTGGTAGCGGCGTTCAAAGTCCAGTTTATCCTGGTGGAAGCGCTCGCCTTGCTCGTCCGAGTACGCTCCCATGTTCTCCTTGAATTGATCAAGATGAGCATCAAGGCTGTGGACTTTGAGGGACATCCTACAGCCCATTGTGCCGTAGTTCTTCACCAGTCTCAAACAGCTCCACATAGTTTTTGGCCTTCTGATTGCCCAGGAAGCCCCGAACCACTGCGACAAAGCTGTTCCAAGCCGCGTTCTCCTTACTAGTGAGCGTCTTGGGGAATTCATTGCACTCCAGGATCTTCTTTATCTGTGGTCCGACGAAGACACCGGCTTTGACCTTTGCCTCAGACAGCTTAGAGAAGAAGTCTTGAAGGTACTTGAAGGCTGCCGACTCCTTATCTACAGCTCTGACAAATTGTTTAACGAGGCCCAATTTGCTGTGCAGTGGTGGCATCAGCACCTCCCGGGGGTCCACCAGTGGCTCCCACTTGACGTTGTTCCTCCCCACAGAGAACTCGGTCCGCTGTGGCCAGTCCCGCCTGTGGTAGTGCGCCTTGGTGTCTAAATCTTTTGTTGTCATTTTTGTATTACTTTAGTATAAATACATGTACATTTTTATTCATATGTTGTTGTTTTTCTGACTTTATGTGAACGAAAAGACACACATTTGCCCGATTTCTCATTGAAAATAAGTACATTTCAAAATATCACTGTCCTGGTTACAAAAGCAAAGTTTGTGGGGAATAATAGCCATTTTCTGTACTTTTGAGGCATAAGCAATTAAGAAATAACACTTCCTACCCAAGAACAAAAGATATGTTTTTACACAGTGTAACCAGCGCCTCCAATTCTGACGAGTTCCTAAGGTGATACCGCGACGTCGTCACGAACTAGTATGCAGATGAGATGCAAAAAATAGGTGTCGTGTGCCGTTCTGCGGCCTGAAAGCTTTCTAATTTAATAAACGAGCGATTTTTATAAATACAAAATAGGAAAACAAACATTGATGATGATTCATAGCTGTTCCAGGATAAGCAATCTAAAACATTGTGTTTTATGTAAAAGGTTTGGAGATGAATGGAAGGCGGTGATGATTCGCTCGGTGGGAGTGAAGCTTAATCTGATGGGGTGATGTGGGAGGTGATGTAGGCGGTGATGTGGGCGGTGATGGGGGAGGCGATGGGGGAGGTGATGGAGGAGGTGATGGAGGGGTTTGAGGGGGGGAGGAGGTGATGAGAGGGGAGAGGTAGGAGAGTGCGTGGAGGGGAGTGGAGTGAGATGAGAGGGGAGAGGTAGGAGAGTGCGTGGAGGGGAGTGGAGTGAGATGAGAGGGGAGAGGTAGGAGAGTGCGTGGAGTAGAGTAGAGTGAGATGAGAGGGGAGAGGTAGGAGAGTGCGTGGAGTAGAGTAGAGTGAGATGAGAGGGGAGAGACAGGAGAGTGCGTGGAGGGGAGTGGAGTGAGATGAGAGGGGAGAGGCAGGAGAGCGCGTGGAGGGGAGTGGAGTGAGATGAGAGGAGAGAGGTAGGAGAGTGCAGGGAGGGGAGTAGAGTGAGATGAGAGGGGAGAGGTAGGAGAGTGCGTGGGGAGGAGTGGAGTGAGATGAGAGGGGAGGGGTAGGAGAGTGCGTGGAGGGGAGTGGAGTGAGATGAGAGGGGAGAGGCAGGAGAATGCGTGGGGAGTCTATTTATGTGAATTGATCACACGGGGGCATCCCTGCCGCGCAAATTCAGTGCTCGCTGCTCATCTTGAGCGACACAGATTGAGAGGGGTCACAGGGGCATATGTGCCGTTCTTACCCGTGATGGGAGTCGAACTTTGGTACTACGACTGCACGTGGAGCTAGATGAAGAGCAGCAGGAGAGGAGACTTATTTTCAGGAGGGTCCTGCTACATCGGGATGTTTGGCCAGTTACCGTCGTCAGGGTTTGTGGCTTGGTCCGCCCAGATATATTCAAGAATCCATTGCTGTACTGTCATCCGCTGCCATGTATTATGTTTGTCGTCAATCCATTATTGATTTATCAACAACGGATGAAGCGTCTCCCTGCTGCTGCCCTTCGTCTACATCGGCGCCACTGAACCAGTGGTGGAAATTCCACATTGCCATGGCGGAGTTAGGGGTTGCGGTTGAGGTTAGGTTTCGAGAAGGAATGTGCAAGAGGGACTGGCTGTGTGTGTGGGGAGGGCGGGATGAACTTCCCTCGCAATTCGCGGGGTCACGTGGGTTTGGTGAACGAGCGACGGAGCAGGGAGCCGCTCAAGCCCACAGCCACCCCTCCCCCTCCTTGCTCCCCCCCCCCCCCGAAGCTCCCCTTCCGACATCTGCCCCCCCCCACCCACCGCCCCCCACAACGCTCCCCGTCCCCGTCGATTGGACGTGAGGCAGTGACGCGAATCCGAGCGAGCAACGGGCGGCAGTGGACCTGATCCGCTTCATCCCCCCTCCACCCCCACCCCCCACTTCATTCACCCACCCTCCTCCTTTCTCCCAGATCCCTGTCCCAGGTCCCCACACTTAACCCTCGCGCTCACATCTCCGCCCCCACCTCCGCCGCCTCCCTCACCCCCTCCCCTCGTCTCCTTCTCCCCTCTCTCCCCCCCCCCCCCTCCCCAGGTCCCTCTCAATTCTCGACCCCTCTCCCCACCTCCGTGACAACACGTCCCGGCACTCTCTCTCTGTCTCTCTCTCCGTCTCTCCGTCTCTCCCTACCGCTCTCTCCATCTCTCTCTTCTCAAGCCCCCCGCTCTCTTGCTCTTAATAATTCTTCCTCTGTCGCTCTCTCAGTCCCTCTCCCTCGCTATCCCGATCGCTCTGATTCCCTCTCCCACGCTCTCTCCCCGCTCTCTCCACGCCGACTGTTCCTCCACTCGCGGCGCCATCGGAAGGATCGCAGCGCCAAGTGCAGTTTGATGATGAGGGTTCCTCTACTCAGCGTGGGTGTCCATTGCATTCCAGACAGACAACAAGACACATACATAGACAACCAGACACACAGATAGACAACCAGGCACACAGATAGACAACCAGGCACACAGATAGACAACCAGGCACACAGATAGACAACCAGGCACACAGATAGACAACCAGACACACAGATAGACAATCAGACACATAGATAGACAACCAGACACACAGCTAGACAACCAGACACACAGATAGACAATCAAACACACAGATAGACAACCAGGCACACAGACAGACAACCAGACACATAGATAGACAACCAGACACACAGATAGACAACCAGGCACACAGACATGCAATCAGACAAACAGATAGGCAACCAGACACACAGATAGACAACCAGACAGATACATGGATGGATACACAGATAGATGGACATACAGAGAGAGAGAGAGCAATAGTTATGTATACACACACAAAGCTATATAGATGAGTATGCACTTATAGAGATGCATATACACATACAAGGCCAGATATATAGCTACGTTGTCAAACATATTTGCATGGACCAACATAACAGCAGTTACTTCCACAAATTATAAATCGACGTAGACAAAAAGAAAAACCACACGGGTGTATGGGAAGAGATCTAAAAGAATAACTGGGACAGACGGCTATAGATGGACAGGTGGACATTGAGATAGATCGCTGGACAGATATGTGTGTCTCAATAGACAGACACACGGGTATATGGAGGCAAGTCGACGGACGGAGGAATCGATTGACAGGCTGCGATAGTTCATTAACGTGATTCAAGGTGAGACAGCGAATTTCTGTACTCTGCCCGAGTCTTCCTGCCAAAGGCGCTCTCTCCATCTCTGCTGCTATTTAATTACTGCAATCAGGCCAACAATTATTATCATCGTCGTCGTCGTCATCATCATCATTAAGACAATTAGTACACCGTGAGCCCATCGCGTGCACAGAACTCATTTCCGAGAAGCGGCTCCTGAGGCGTCGTCCGAACTTCACGGAGGAGGTGGGCGGACGAGGTGGGCGGACGAGGTGAGCGGACGAGGTGAGGTGACGGAGCCCCCCATCACCAGGTGAGCGCAGTTCACGGGCGCGCGTGCGTGCGGGTGGAGGACGCGCGGGTGAGTGTTGGTAGGGGGCGGGTGGAGGGAAGGTTGGGGGGGGGGGTGAGGTGAGTGGGGTGAGCGTGGGTGAGAGTGAGGGGTGAGTGCCAGGCCTTCGTTCATTCGCGAGACGCGGTGGGCGCGCGCGTGCAGTTGGAGGGGAATCGCGCCACGTGTCAGGGTGCCCGTCAATCTACGTGGGTTGGCTAACACAGCACTTGCCCCGACAGCTTATGCAGGCTTTGAGGGGCATCTTTGCGTATGCGTGTATGTACGTGAGGGTGTATTTGTTGGTCTTCGTAAGTGCTCGCGAACAGCACATGCCCCAACAGTCTGTTAAAGCCATACGGGGGATATTTGTCTTGGCGTGCCTGTATGTACGTGAATGTGTGTGCATGCGTGTTGTGTGAGAGATAGCACGTGCGTGTGTAGTTGTGTGTGGGCTTGTGTTTAGTTGTGTGTGTGTTGTGGAGGCACGTGTGTGTATGTGATTATGCGCGTAGTTGTGTGTTAGTGTGCGAACGTACGTGCGTATGTACGTAGGATTGTATGTGTGTGTGGGGTTTGTGTGTCGTGTGTGTTGTTGTCGGTTTATGTGTGCATGGTTGCCTTAATATGTACTCCGTGTATTTGTAAGTGTGTATATGCATATATTAATGTATGTGTTTATGCGTTATGTTGTGTAAGCAGCTGTGTGTGTGTATGCTCTATGCGTACAAGCGTGTGTGTGTGTGTCTATATATGGGAGCGGTAGCGCGCTGCGCTGCGAACCCGGCGACCAGAGTTCGACTCACGACCAACGCCAGTGACGATTATCAGAGCCGGTCCTGGGCCTCTTCTAGGTTGCCTCAGCCTAAAATGAGTACCTGGTGCCGTGTGTGGTCAACACTACCACTGGGGAGACAAAGGCGGCCGGGCGTAGTACTTGCCGCGCCACCACCTCGTGTGTGCCGTTTCGGACTTTGATTCGTGCTCGCGAACAACATTTTGTTCGAGGCTACGTGGGGGATCTTTGTCTGTGTGTCTGCGTGCCAACCCACACTGCCCCTCTCATGCGTAATTCTGGCCTTAGCAGGTGCTCGCTTACAGCACTCGGCACACCATCTCCAAGTAGGGCTAGACGGAGAGCGTAGCTATTGTGCGAGTCTGTGTGTGTGTGTACGCTCACAGGATCGCGCGCGGCTTTCATTATTTATCGGCCTATTCGTTATGAGCACGGAGGGCTGTGTGAAACGCCGAGAGGAATCGCTTCGTATGACCATTATTCAAAATGCCCCTCCGCTCTCCTTTATGCGACGTACACGTGTGAGTGTGTGTTAGTGAGCTCGTGTGTGTGTACGAGTGTGTGCGTGTCTGTCTCTGTGTGTGTGTCAATCAGTGGGGAGCGGTAGTGAAGCGGTTAGCGCGCTACGAACCCGGCGACCCGAGTTCGATTCCTGCTCACGGCCAACAACAGTGACGATTATCTGAATCGGTCCTGGGCCTCCCCTAGGTCGACTCAACCTCAAATGAGTACCTGGCGCGCTGTGTAAACATCGCCACTGGGGAGACAAAGGCGGCCAGGCGTGGTGTTGACCACCTATAAGCCCCTCATGCGCCGTGTGAGGGGCCTTCATAGGCGCTACTAACGAACAGCACTTGCCCCAAAAGTCTGTTAAGGCTATACGTGGGGGGGGGGGGGGTGTTTGTCTTTTCAGTAACGCGTGCGTGTGTAATTGGTCTCCCGCCTGTTTACGATGAGCTCTTTACCAATGGGTTTTTTTTTTGTAACAAATCCGCGCAGTGCTCTTCGTGATGGTTATTAATGCGCCGTCAATGTCCCCGACTCACGCGGGCGGGCAAAGCCTCGACAGGAAGCTGCGCCTGAGTCCGCTTGCTATCACAGTCCGCTCCGTGAGCGTCACGTCAACTCTTAACTATGCTTTTTCATTCTACCAGGTATTAGGCCCATTGAGCTATATAGCTCTATTTAAGAAGCGACCTGGCCAACAAATGACAGCTCAACAAAGTGGCTTATCACGTGGAAAATTATAGCAGCCAAACACTCTAAACGCGTGGTGATGTTGATTCTAAATGTGGAGGGCAAAACCGGATGACCCGGAAAAAAATCCACGCGAGCACGGGGAGAGACGCAAACTCCAAATATACAGCAGCAGCAGGCGTCAGGGTTGGGGATCGAACCCACGGCCTCCTGTATACCAGGCGAGGTAGTTAACATCTCCTAGCCACCGTGATGATGAGAGAGCGATAGAACCCACGACCTCCTGTATACCAGGCGAGGTAGTTAACATCTCCTAGCCACCGTGATGATGATGAGAGAGCGATAGAACCCACGACCTCCTGTATACCAGGCGAGGTAGTTAACATCTCCTAGCCACCGTGATGATGATGAGAGAGAGAGATCGAACCCACGACCTCCTGTATACCAGGCGAGGTAGTTAACATCTCCTAGCCACCGTGATGATGATGAGAGAAAGATCGAACCCACGGCCTCCTGTATACCAGGCGAGGTAGTTAACATCTCATAGCCACCGTGATAATGATGAGAGAGAGATCGAACCCACGGCCTCCTGTATACCAGGCGAGGTAGTTAACATCTCCTAGCCACCGTGGCGCCCACGCTTCTCGTGCCATTGATACAGCCACGTGCAAACCCAGGCGAGGCGGGCAGCTCCAAGATAAGAGTCGTTGAGATTCTTCGGTCGAATCTCCCTCCAAGCATAAGGAGGACCCTCCCGGCTGTGCCGTTGGTCGCGTGTTTTGTTGTTGTTGTTACTTAATAATTCACAAATAAGCCAAGGTAATTTGAACGCGCCCGAGAGGACGTTCCACCAAAGAGACGGAGCGATGGAATCGGTGCATACGCTGGGTGGAATTGTTCCATCGCAAAGGTTGTGAAAGATGGTGGCGGCTTGGTGAGGCATTTATCCAGCAGTGGATTGACCACGGTTGATGATGACTAATTTACAAAGCCCTTGTCAATCCACTGCTGGATGAAAGCCTTCCGACGACGCATCGGGGTTATTTCGACCATACTTCACCATTGCTGGTCAGTGCGGGCTAGTCGTAAAGGGTGATGTTTACGCACGGGATTTGCTACTCAATTAAGGCTGAGTCGACCTAAACGAGGTCCAGGACCGGTTCCGGATATCGCTCGTCGCCAATGGCGTGAGCCCGGTGGACGGGAATCGAACTCAGGTGGCCGGGTGTAGTGCAAAGCTGTACGTGCTTGCTCCACCACCGCGCGTAGACATCCACTCACCCCGCGTGAGATTCCACTGAGGTTGACATTTAAATCAGTGCCGTTGAACGCCGCGAGTCCTAGAGAAGTCGGTACTATCCAGGATGGTAAATGCTGTCAATATCCACAAAGACAAGTGTGCATTTATTTTATGTTTGCATAGCCACACACTTCCTGTGTAATTCCGATATCCCGTAGACGTTTCATATGGCTAGCTTTACTTTATTACGAAACCATATTCTCTTTAAAAAACATACTACAGGTACACTATTTTATATATAAAGAACTACTACGGGGAACATTTCTATCGTACAGTTTTGTCATTTGGAGGTAATATTGTTCAAGGAAATCGTCGGGAGCATTCGCCACCATAGGGGGTACCGATGTAAGTGACATTTCTGAGCCAATGGCTCAAAAGCCGCAATCCCTCTTTGTGTGAGTGACCTCCAATTAACGGGTGCGCTGGAGCGTGCCAGTGATCCAGCGCTTCGGGAGCAGGGGTTGGTGGATCATGTAGGCGGCGATTGGACGGGCTTGGAGGAGGGGGGGGGGAAGGTAGGTTGGGTTGCTTAGCAAAATATTCCATGAAAAATGAATCCTGCATTTGAGAGTATTGCCCCTTCTGAAAAGGAGTCTTGCATGATTAATACTGTGGACCCCCTACACACCCATAGTTTCACAGTGCCCTCCGCAACACCCCCGCTTTTACTCTAAATCCACCAAATTTAAAGGACCTCTTTCCCCCCCCCCCGGCCACCTTCTTTGTCTCCCTGCCCCCCCCCCCTCCCCGAAAGTATCCACTGAAGCCCGCACGACTTCATCAGGCTTTGCCTCGCGTCTCTGTAGGACACCACGGCGCGGCGCGGATTGTTCGCCGCTGCACTCGCATCCAATTCCATTCAATTTAGTTCAATGGGTGGCAGCTTACAGCATCAATATGAGGATGGCGAGGGGGAGGAGGAGGGGCAGGGAGTAGGGGGGGGGGAGGCGAGGGGAGGAGGATAACATTTTGTCCAATTGCAGGTGACACGTGCTGGCGGTTGGAGTTGATTAATTGGAACGGAGATGGTCGCGCGTGCTGATAATGATTTGGTATTAATAATAATGAATTAACAATGCCCTTTATTTACCCATGAGAACCTCATTAATTCTAAAAGGCTCATTTTCAGGAGGGCCCTGCTACGTTGGGAAAGTTCTGGTCAATAGGAATGCCACCGCTTCCGGAATTAATCCCGTGACACGCACGAGTCGCAACCTCTTCAAAGCTCTGCACAGATGGATGCAATGATCAATATGCTGCACGTGCTCTTTCCTCTTGTGGCCAGGTCGCGGCCCAAGCATACAACGCCTGGTTATTCTCAGGAGGCTTCCCATCACAGGATTCATCAGGGTCGGAGCCCTGATCTGGCTTCCGAGATTTAGCGCAGAAATATTACTGTTGCATCCACCGAGACCGGTTCTGCAAGTAGACCGAATCAATCTCGCAGCTAGGAAAACCATGAGGGTGGAATTTGGTGGAATGTGGTAGAGTTTTGTGGAGTGTGGTTGAGTGTGGTGCAGTGTGGTGGAGTTTCTATTCTACTTCGGATTTGCATCGCGCCCTTTACATTTTGGTGGAGTGTGGTGGAGTGTGATGGAGTCTAGTGGAGTGTGGAGGAGTGTGGAGGAGTTTGGTGGAGTGTGGAGGAGTTTGGTGAGGCTTGGTGACTCTGCATAGCAATGGAGACGC